ACCAAGTCTGGTGGCTCACATCTGTAAGCACAGCACTTGAGAGGCTGAGGCAAAAGGATCATTAAAAGTTCAAGACCAGCTTGGGCTACATAGAACATTCCAGGCCAAACTGGAACATATCCCCTCCTCCACAAAAAAATCAAACAAACAAGCAACAACAAACATACCAACAGTAGCCAGGCCTGTTGCTACAGGTCTGTAATCCCAGGTACTTGTGTGTAAAATGAGGTAGGAGGATCACAAATTCAAAGCAAAAGCATGGCTCATAGCTCGGAGGTAAAGCATTTGCCTTCCACACGCCAGGTTCTACGTTCAGTCCCCAGTTAATAAGCAAAGGGTGGAAAGAGATGGCTCCGTGGTTAAGAGCACCAGCTGCTTTGCAGAAGACCAGAGCTTGTTTTGGAAGCACCTGGTCGGGTAGCTCACAACTGCCTGGGACTCCAGGGCACCTGTTGCTCTCTCCTGGTCTCCACAAGCATCTACACTCACATGTACCCATCAAAAACAGACACATATATGCATAATTTAAAATAAAATCTTAAAGAAAGAAAAAAGCCGGGCGGTGGTGGTGCACGCCTTTAATCCCAGCACTCGGGAGGCAGAGGCAGGCTGAGCTCTGTGAGTTCGAGGCCAGCCTGGTCAGGCTGGTCAGGCTCTGAAGCTACAGAGAAACCCTGTCTCGAAAAACCAAAACCAAACAAACAAAAACCCACAAATTTTGCTATTAGCTAACATTACCCTTTATTTTATGTACTTAAAGAAAAGTACAACATCTAAAGTCAAAAGGCATGTTAAATATTTATCTCATGACCAAACTGTCCGTTTTCCTGATGGTCTCTCAGGCCCTGCTGAAGAGGGAGAGCTGGGAAGCATGCTCTGTAGAGGAGATTCTTCCCCATCTCCTCACATCTGCTCCAAAGGTAACTAACTCAATAACACTTCCGTAATTACCACCTCTTCGACAAACATGGCCAAACAGAAATTCCCAATAATGAAGATAAAACTGTCATGTCTCTAGTGTCCAATCCCTTTTAGTATTCAATTAGGTTACTTTAAATAACCTAGATATCGATTGATAACAAAGTCTCTCTGAGATAATAAAGCCTTTGTTTTTTGTGTTTAAAGAAAAAAAAGTTTTATTTATATCCTCCAAGCCAAGGACATTGATTTTTAAGATGAAAAATTGCACTTTTGCTACAATTGCTGCCAGCATGGATTTCTTGAGCAAACTTTACCTTCAGATCCTTGCCAAGGCCTGAACAATAATTAAACATGGCATCACATCTGCTTTGGTTTGCCTGAAGAGCTTTATCGTTAGTAGCAACGAAGCAAGGGGCATTTTTCTTCTGGGCGTCTGATTCTATCCAGTTATTTCCAGTCACTCTTATTGACTACCCATGGTGTGCAGCCCCCCAAGCTATGGGCTAGTGACAGAGAAGTTGCCATATAACATGATGTGGAGGAAGCACACAGGCGCAGGGTGGACAGGAGGGGAACTGCCAGCACAGGTAGTAACAGTTACTCATGCGTTTGCCAAGAATGACCCACAGGTAAGGCTGATTACATTCCACTAACTACTTTCCTTGAGCCGTTAATGAGATTGGTAAGGAACAAGAAGCAATCAACATATAGCTTGTTTTGTTTTTGCAGGGCTGTGGGTAAGAACCCAGAGCCTCATAAAAGCCTGGCAAACAGTCTACCAATTGGGCTACATCCCTGGTATAACAGGTTGTGCAGTGTTAGAGTCGTGTTACAGAAAGACCATCCCAAATCAGCTGGAACCAATGTAGCTCACTCAGAAGACCACAGTCTTGTCAGTGTTCTATGGCTGTGAAGAGCAGCCATGACCATGGCAGCTCTTACAAAAGAAAGCATTTAACTGGGGCTTACTTATAGTTTCAGAGGTTTAGTTTATTGTTAGCAGGCAGACACGGTACTAGAGAGACAGCTGAAAGTTCTACATCTGGATACATAGGCAACAGGAAGAGAGAGCCACTGGGCCAGGTTAGGGCTCTTGAAACCTAACGCCTACTCTCAGGGACACACTGCCTCCAGCAAGGTCACACCTACCCCAGCAAGGCCACACCTCCTAATCCTTCTAAGTAGTGCCACTCCCTGGTGACTAAACATTCAAATATACGAGCCCTTGGGAGCCATTCTTATTCAAACCACCATAACCACTGTTCTTTGCTATGTAATGATCTCCACACCAGTAGTCTGGCTGAACTACCTGCTCCCATCCTGCATCTGATGCCAGGATGCGTCCAGAAAACCACGTGATACAGAAAAGTTGAGGAAACCCTATTCTGGGAAAATCCCACCCCCAGAATTCCTCACTTCTTCCCTACTTCAACATGTAAATAATAATACCCTGTCCGTATTGCAAAGTTTTGCTATCTAAAAGCTCAAAACTGCAGTCTCTGAAGAAGCCCTCTCCCGCCCCTTGTCTTGAGTGTAAGTGGCCATCCTTTTCTGAGGCAGCCCTTCAGCAACTCCTGGGCTTAAATTCGGATGTGCTTTTTCTTTGTAGACCCCCACGATGCTCTCCCTCAGCAAACTCAAGCTTGGCTTAGTAAGTCCCAGCTTTACTTCATACCAATGCCTCCTGAAACACTTTTATCTGCATCAGTAAAGACCACAGCTTCACCTAGGTGGAGATCTCTGAAAACAACTGGGCAGTGCAACCGGTCACACTGAGCTCTGTGTCCTGCTACCAGTAACACGGAGGCCACCTTAACTCCAGAGCAATGAACTGAATAGGGACTGTGGTTGGACGGACAGTTGTAAAATGTTATGAGGGCTCTTAGCTGAATTCTTTTCCCGAGACAAGGTTTCATAAAGCTCAGGCTGACCTGGAATTTAGCAATACTCAAAGATGGTCTTGAACTGCTTCTCCTGCCTCCACTTCCCCCACTTCCCACGTGCTAGGATTACAGAAGGGGGGGGTGACTAGGATGGGCTCAGATAACCACTCTGATCAGGTGACCCCTGATCCAATCAACTACAAAAGTAGTTGGGTCACTGGCAGGAAGGGCCATGTCAACGTTCTCTCTGTACTCAATACCTGCCCAAAGAGAGCCCAAAGATATGCTACTGCCCTGGAGGTGGCAGCCACAGGTGTTAGGTGCTATTACAGAAATCTAAAAGGACTTACGTTTCTTGAATCAGTGGTACAAGTTTTTTGGTTTTTTAAATCAGTTTAAATTTTTTAATCTATCATTAATCTATGTGAAGGTGTGGGACTGTGAGGATGCACCACAGCACCTATGTGCAGGTTAGAAGATAAACTTTTAGACTCAATTCTCTTTGTCCACTATGTGTGTTCCAGGGATTGTCCTCAAATCACAGGCTCTGCAGCAAGTGTCTTAAGCTGCAGATCTTGCTGATCCTGGTACAAGCTTCTTTCTTTTCTTTCTTTATAATGATAACTTATTTATTATTTGCACTGATGTTTTGCCAGCATGTATGTCTGTGTGATGCTGTCAGACCTTGGAGTTACAAAGAGTTGTGAATTTCCAGGTAGGTACTGGGAATTGAACCTGGGTCCTCTGGAAGAGCAGTCTGTGCTCTTAACTGCTGAACCATCTCTCCAACCCGCCTGGTACAAGGTTGTTTGTTTGTTTTTCAAACTGTTCAGGTGATTACACTGGTGGAACTGGAGGGAATCTTGTTATAATGTTGAGAGCTCGTGCTTGAACTTCTAAGGTACAGGCCCAAAGTGTTCTTTAACCATTGGAAAGTGTCTTGCATAGTGATCAGCTGAAGGCTTAGTCTCTTTGCAAAGAATGCTGAAGGCAAAGGACTAAATTTGCTGGGCAGTGGTGGCGCACGCCTTTAATCCCAGCACTCAGGAGTCAGAGGCAGGCAGATCTCTGTGAGTTCTAGGACAGTCTGGTCTACAGAGTGAGTTCCAGAACAGCCATGGTTACACAGAGAAACCCCGTCTTGAAAAACCAAAACCAAATCAAAATAAAACAAAACAAAAAAGCACTAAGTTAGCAAAATGAATCTGAGTGAGTCTGTCATTAACAAACCCCTATTTCAAAGCACCCCTCTGATTTCCATCCTAGCACTTTTTATACCCTGTGCATGGGAAGATTGGGAAGTGGTGAAGAGTTGGCCTTTTGAGGCAGGAGAATTTTGTGAATGAACCCTGGAGCTCAAAGTCCACCTGGATAACACAATAAGATTTTTTTCTAAAGAGCAAACAGAGCTGGGAGGACAGGCAGACCAAGTTTGCAGTGTGTTGATGCTCCATTCCAGGCAGATGAAGAACAGGAAGGCATCCTCTTTCCCACACTGCCATCTTCTGGTGGAAGACGGTAATGTTTATTGGCTGCCCAGACCCACGCCTTCTTGAGAAATCTGAGCAGGACTATGAGGGGGTCAGGGCGAGCCCTGTTGGCTGACCATGCTCCATACAATGAGTGTCAATGATAGGCAGCCTGGGAAAGCCCCTCTAATGCACGAATGGCTGTGCTAAGGGGATCAGAAGAAACACAATCACTAGGCTCTCATCAGCCAGAGCCACCGAGCTTCCCTATGCTGACACTTCCTTATTGTAAGACACAGTAACACATATTGTCCAGGGTGGATAAAACGAAACCAGACTATATATTTAAAGTTCCTGCACTATGGTGGGCTCAGTGGTGTGCTGTGCTGATCTGGAGTCATATAGAACCCCTGGTTGGCTGGCAGGCCAGAGTGGGAGAGAAAGGGACACTAGCCCAGAGAGTGATAGTATCTGTATATTTGGCTCCTGGACTAACCTTCTGGGATGAGGAAAGAGACAGATGTCTGGGCATCTCCAGCTGGATCCCCACCAAGAGAAAGGATAGTGCCCCCAAACATACCCGCCAGAATTGGAGTGTGTGTTGTATTCTAACAGAGGGGAGTGGCCGCTACAAAAAAAGCAGGTTGAAAATGTGACTAAGGCTCTCTTGGGTTTGGGGCCAGGCTCCTGGAATCTTCGCTCCACCCTGACGTGGCAACCAGCCAACTTCAGGGATTCTGAACCAGCTTTATTTGCAAAAAAACAGTCAAGGAGGAACCCAAGACAGAAAGGCCTCTCCCGCCCCTCTCAGGACCTTGCATCTGCTTTTCTCTCACCAGGAACCACCACGCACGCCCCCACCCTTCTCTGGAGCTCGGCTCCGCCCACCGACGCCCCGCCCCTTAGCAACCCACAAGCCCCACCCACCAATAGCACCCTCCTCTTTGTGGCCCTCACTCCTCCCCGGCCCAGGCCGCGCCCCTTAGCGCAGGGGTCAGGCTACACGATGGCAAACTGGCAGACATAAGGCAATTGGTCGCGGCATCGCTTGTCGAACCACTTGCCGTTGGCCGCTACGGCCAGGGCGGCGCAGTTCTCGGTTTTGCCGCCGTCGGGCTGCGCCGTGATCTCTGTCTCCCAATTCTTGAAGGCCAGGCGGCCGCCGGTCATGTCCACCCAGGTGCCTTCCGTGGCCATGTCGTTGAGGCCCATCCAGATCTCCACCTCGCTGCCTACGCTCTGGCGCGCGTACTCGAACAGTGCCTCGTTCTCCAGCCCCGACTGCGGCGTGCCCAGTGTGCCCCCACGGGAGATGCAGTCCTCGCTGGCCTCATGGAAGGTCTTCGGCTGAGGGAAGGCCAGGAAGCACTTCAGGTTTACTTTGGTGCCCTTTAGGCATACTGAAAGGAGAAACAGCTGTCATAAGTTTCGGACACCCCAAGCCAAACAGACCTCTTCCAGACTGTCCCCAGCCTCCATCCTATCCCATCCATCGCTTGAAACCTGCTTCCTTCCGCTTCAGGACCCTGCTGTGGCAGGCACTGAAGAAGCCAGATTACTGTCCAAGAGGAATTGGTGCCCCTGGTCCGGGAATGGCCACTCTTCTGCTACAAAGGGCTCCTTAGCCAGGGTCACTGACTTCCAGAGATGGAGTGCAAAAGTCACCTGGTCTCTGCCCATGGCCACAGAAGTTGGCGTCAGGCTTATTCTGAGCTTAATTTCTCTTGGGTCTGCTTCCTTCCTCACCCTCTCCAAGCCTGCCACCTCAGTTTCCCAAACTAGCCAGAGCCTCCCACACTGTGCTCCATCACCAGGCTCCTCTCTAGAATCAAGCCACTAGCTAGTTCACAGTGCCAGGCATCTGCCTACTTGAGATGGAGACCATAGTCCAGGAACTTAGTACTTACCACCTCAGTCTGAGGGCTAGCAAGCTTTACCACAGGGGATCAACACAGGGGACCTCTGCCCAGGCCAGGTCCCACGTAAGGGAAGGCAGGCTTTTCCGAACAGTATTCTTAACTAGTGCTTAGTGGAACACTGGTCTCCCAGGTTAGGAAGAAGAGACATGAGCTTGGTGTAGCAGTTTGTGTTTAACTTGACTTCTTTCTTCTCTCTCTCTCTCTCTCCTTCCCTTCCCTTCCTTCCTTCCTTCCTTCCTTCCTTCCTTCCTTCCTTCCTTCCT